CGATAAACTTATTACCAGCCAAGTACCAGGGAAAAGAATGGAAACGTAAGTAAACACGCTCGCCTTTTTTTTTTTTTTTTTTCCTACGGAAGATTCGAAGTAAATGACCAAGAAAAGGCTTTGAGAACGCGCGCGCGAACTGCCATTTGTTTAGGTTTTTGTTTTAGAACAATACCTTATACAGACGCCACCATGTACAGCGCTCGAAATTACACGTATGGCACATACTTGGTACTTGGGTAATTTAGCAAAATGTCTATTCAATGCATCAAGTCTAGCAGGCTGTCCTGAAAACTAGGCTGTTGAACACTGTTGAACGACACTGCAATTTAGAAACAGCAATCTTAGCAGAGGCCGCAAATTGATTTTAGACAGTCTGTCTTAACCGTTTTCCGAAACAGAAAGAAAGATACTGAAGCAAAGTGAATATTTTGGCTAAATGATTGATATTCAATATATATATATATATATATATATATATATATATATATATAGAGAGAGAGAGAGAGAGAGAGAGAAACCAAATGAAACATATTATTTAATCCTTCGGGATATGGTTATCGACACCAGTTTTAAGCGAGAGAGTAAATTACCTATTAATTAAGTTTATGGGTATTAATCTATCTTAGCTCACACGTTTCAATCGGAGATTTGAAGATGAGCGTCAAAATAGGCCATGACCGTTGTTAGATTTCAGAAAACTAAACTCTGTTTCATGCATTTTTTTAATTATTATTTTCGGCTTCTAAAATTATAAATAAATAAATATAGTACAGTTAAGCGGGAACCGTCAGTTGGCGGCACCACTGACACTGTTTGTCGTTAACGCTGAAATAAACTTATTCATAAGGTTGTCTACCAGCCATCATTAATATTATTTATGTCTCACTGTTTTGAATGTTACTACGGTTGACGTAAGGAGATTATTTCATCGTGCTGCAATACCCCGCCCTGCGAAGAGCCCAGCTAGGGATTACGGTACTTATAAATAAATAAATGAAATCTCACTTCAAATCAGACGGGTATGAAAAAAGTGCATTTTTGGGGCCATATATCGCCATGCATGACCAGAAATGGCACGCCCCGCGGTGCAATAATAATAATAATAATAATAATAATGAACTAATTATAACTCCTGTTCAAAGATCGGACTGTTTTGCACGACTCACGCCTGTCGTGCAACCCCCCCCCCCCCCCCCTTTTTCCAAAAAAAAAAAAAAAATGCAGTTGCTGAGGGCAATTATTTGGGACTAAACGAAACGGTATTAGAAACAAAGAGTACAAAGAAAGCGGGCGAAAATCGTTGAGGCTAAGCAATAAATATAAAAACAGCGGAGAAAGCTGCAAGCAAGAGCGCTAGGTAGCAGACGAAAATGGCGCGTCTGAAACCGCAGCGTCCACGCAGACGAAACTAAAAAACCGCAACCTCTGCATCGTTTTTTTTTTTCTTTTCCTTTTTCTATTCTTGTATTGCGTTCTTCGTAAAAATAGGGACTCCCCTACCGAAAATAAATAACGGCATATTCGCCGCTGCTTTCCGATAATCACTTTCCGTCTCGGGCGCTCTGGCGCACGTGTGTGCACGCACGTAGCACATTTGGACTCGAAATCGAAATTGACTAGCTTTTTTTTCCCCCAAAGCAGCCGAGATGAGTCCAGTCCAATTTAATCCACTCCAATCAATTCGCAAAGCAGACATGAAAAAAAACACCCTTTTGTGCGCACTTCGCTCCATCGCAGACGACCCGAACGTTGCAGACGACAAATTGCGTCGGGACCGAACCACTCCGCACGACAAAAGAGTGCGCTCTCCTCACGCCCCCCCAAAAAAAACAACTCGGAAAGGCGACAAAAAAACCGGTACTACGCGACGAACGCAAAAAGAAATCGAAGAGATACGTGCCTCGCCACGACGGGAGACAGTCCGCCGAAGAATAAAAATGGTAGCGGCTATGCCGGAACAACCATATACACGGGCACTAGCCGTGGGTTGTCGTACTCCGCGCACGCCCCGGCTCTCGGCGGCAGGGGCGGCCATCTTATCGATCGGCGGACTCCTACGCGAACTAGGTCGTGCGGGCAACACGAGAAAGATACAAAAAGACAGAAACGCTCGCTCGTCGACGATTCTGAGCACAGGACTACGCCCCTGGCTGGGTCGCACAGGTCGCGTCCGCTGTCGTCGGCCAGCGACCATTACACTTGGCACTCATCGTCATGGTTCGGCGGGGAACCGCGAAACAAAAAAGTGCAAATTAAGTGTCGCCGATTTGCCTTCAAATCAGGCTCCGTGTTATGCGAGCGAAGGGCAGCTGAGGGGGACGTCGTGACGGCGAGAACGCTTTGTATGCAGCCTGACGAAATGCAATCATGGAAGGACATGCGAAGCACAATCCCGCTGACACGTGTTCCTAACGTGTGCGTTGTCCAAATGAATGTTCGGAGAATGATGTTCCAGCAAATCTGTTTAGCCTGCACCTGCTTCCCAAATGGGTTCAGGTGCAAATGTGATAACTGCCTTTTCAACTTTTAACTGCATGTGTGCAAAGGATGCTTTAGAAAACACTCTCTCCGTGGTATGTGCATATAAGTCAACGTATGAAAGATGAAATCCAAGTGTGGTAAACGAAAAGCGCATGTACTGTGTGAACAAAAGCTGGTCAAGAAAACCTGTCTTTAGCACAATTATACTGAGATACTTTTGTCATCAGATCTTATCATATGTAGTGCATTTGTATTCAACTTGTCTGAACATCATATAGCTATTGTGATTTTAGATATCCAAATTATAGAGTTTGGTATAAACAGACTGCAGTGCCATTGCTCCAAATGTTAATTCTAAAGTACTACATTGACTCATTTACCATCATCATGTCTACATCAAATGGTGTTCTAGCAATCATTCCCAGAACAAACATGTTCAACATAATCTTTGTTAAAGTGCACATATGCCATTGTTATCTATCTGATACACATAAACCAACATCACTTACGAACACAAACAGGGCATAATGCCCCGAATTGACTCGTTAAGCTTAATTGAAGTGCGTGAACATGCATCCAATCCAACCATACTTTTATCAGATTTTCCTTTCTTGAGCCCGACTTTCCTCGATCAAACAAAAGTGCTACAAGATTACTGCGCTTCAAGGGAGATAATTCACCGGGGCAAACAACGTACCAACAAAAAATGGAAAAGCAGACTAGAATAAAATAAGGAAGCACTGCTGTCGGCTCGAAGTGAAAAGATATGACAAGGGAGGAAGGAGCAGCACCGAAAGCCAAAGGTAGCCATCAAGACTGATTAGGGCGCTCCCAATTTTAGTTGCCGTTGCCGGCAATCATGGCAGCTGACAAGACCTGGTTACTGCCTGAAAGATAGATTGTGAGGCGCCTGTCCGGCCACGCTGCGGAAGCGGTGCCCTAATAGGGTGACCCCAATGTCAGCCGACAGTTAAGTATGAGGTGACGGCATACCTTCCTCTAGTCCGACGGCCCTCTATAGCCAAAATGGTGCCTAAAAACTATCACCAACTAAAGTCAGACGATCCTGGGAAAGTATTCCACTGCCTTCCCTGCTTCCTAGTAGGGCACAAACAGATACTAACATACAGATGGCCAAAACCTTGCAAGGGCTTACTATTATCTTCCGCCACAACAATTGCTATTTCGGTCCTTTCAAATCTCCGAAGTTTCGAAAAAGTAATTCTGAACCAGCCAAGCCAAGATTGCAAGGGGCCATCATCGTACTGAAAGGGTTCCATACCAATATAAGCATCTGTGGCACTGTATGTGCAATAAACTTATCAATCTGGCTTATCTCCAAAGATCTCTTACGATTATATTGTTCGTTGAGCATGTTTCATGACAGGCACGTAGCCAGGAGTTTGTTTCGGGGGGACCCGCCCATGACAACATTCTGTATGAGGGGTAGAGGAGGCCCCAGCAAAATGGAAGATATCGGGGGGGGGGGGGACTTTCCCCCTGGCTACGTGCCAGTTTCATGACAGGAAAAATATTTTTCCGCGTCCCAAGCACTGACGCTGCATGTGGTGATGGTGTGAAGAGTTTTGCCAATGTGCAAATAACAAAACATCTGCCCAGTGTGTGGGTAACCAACTTTCCAGCATCGGCTCAATGAAACCAACTCTATGTGCACATCTACTAAGGCAGACGGTATTCCATCCACTGCTTTTCTCAGCCGGAACAAAACAAAAGAATGACACCCAGCACAGTGTGATAATGTCACTGCAAGGTATGTATTGCTGTCACCATAATACGGGGGAATCGGTGGCCGAGTGGGCTAGAGCACACCAGCTCGGAGCACGTGGAGTGAAAACTCGTGCCGCAGAACTCTGGGATCCTGGGTTCAATCACCACCCCTGCCCGTTTCAATCTGGATGAACATCACACCGGCGTGTGGTCGTGTGTCACTACCCAGGCTATCGGTTGTACTGCACTGGCTCTATTGCTCATCTACAGCTGAGACACCAGACAGCCATTGGGGCTAACTTCCAGCTGTATAAACGAGCACACAACACAATTACTTTTTACATAATACAATGATTGCAATGTATAGCATGTCTGACTGTTTTAAGATGCCAAGCATGCTTCAACAGATAATTCCTGCTGAGGTCAACCAAGACAGTGTTAGGAAAGTACAATTGTGTGCAAATTTATATGCAGAGCCTTCCTGTCAAGAATTGTAGAAAATTACTCGAAATTCAGAGCGACATTGCACAGTAATAATCACCGACTATACTCTGTTTAACCGTAAGCCGAGACTAGAAGCTCCACCATCAGCACGAGCTTTCTGCCTTTGCTGACACAAGTGTGAACGTGCAAACAAAGCACTGCAGAACCCAGCGAGCTCACGCTGATGCAGAGCTTCCAGTCTCAGTTTGAGGGGAAGTACAGAAACAGCCTGCCAGACAGGAATATCCAGAACCACAAGACGTCACAGCAACGTCACGCGGTAATAACCAGACGGGGGGCCGGGGTAGCAATTGTAAAAGTCCATCGCACACGCTTTAATTCCAGTCCATTTATGTACAATGCTGGCGTCACCACACGTAGCAACCGCACAAACACACATGAACACACACATCCACTGGCGCTACTGGTTTCCAACAACTTTTTCTCCCTGTGTTCCGTAGTTCACACAGAGTCACTTGCACTTTGCAAAGAAAAAAAAGTCTGTACAACAAACGGCGGGGGGGAGGCAAACAACAGATGTAAGCGTCCCCTAGATTCCCGCTTGCCCCCTGAAATGCCAGCGCAACAGCCTACCTCACCGCCACGCCAGGATCGGCCAAAGCCTCTAACTCCTCGAAAGTCGCGTAGAAAGAGAAGAGGGAGGCCCACCTAGAGTCTAGTATCAACGGGGCGCGTACTGCCTTCGTGGGATGTCGTGAGCGGAGTGTACCCACGAGACGAGCAAACCACGCGTGTTAACTATCCATGCAGGTACAACAACGGTGAAGCAGTGGCAACACGGCCAGATTTCGTGCTCCTCCACGTTGCAGCACAGCTGGGAACAGCAGTCGGTGGCAGCCGTTTCTAGCAGGAGTATTTGGAAAGCTCCGGTTCCCAAGTGCAAAACGGTTTTGGTCTGTGCTCGGAGATGCGACAAAGTTAGCACCAAGGTGCTGGTGTCTGGTCCGAACCCTCCGAAACGCAAGCGGAAAGGGGGCCAAGGGAAACAAAGTTCCACGCGTAAACAAAGAAGCTGCCAAGCTAAACCGCATGTCTAGCAAATGAACCGGATAAATCGGGCTCCCCGTCAAGATGCGACCTCATCGAGACTCGTTCGGTGCATTCGGCCGACCCACCGGCTACAGAACTGCCGTGGAAGACTGCGTTAAAGCTACGCAACGGCCCGTCCAATCCCTCTGGGGCGTCGTAATCTGGCAGTCGACAAACCGCAATGTTCCTTGCAACGTCCGTCCGGAACAAGCCTGGGATTTCGCAAAGACAAGAAAGTGCCCGTCGCCAACTGCAGCCAACGAAAACCTTGCAACGAGACGGCAACAAATTGACGCAGGTCTTGCGACAAAGGATGACAGGTCCCTTTCTTAATGGAGTGGAAAGCGCCATCCGGGCGAGGAAGCCAGCCGGCAGACGAACCCTGCTGCTTACACCGGCGGTTGCCAACGCTTCCGGACGGGGCAGAAGCAGCAGACTAGGACAGTGGGACACTGCCCCCCTGTCGCATCAACCGCCAGAGTCGAAGGGGAGGGCAGGTAAAAACAGACGAGGCCGCTAAAATGAGAAGGGCGAGGGGATCCAAATGCTGCACCGAGGAAGCAGTACCTCGAGTGCGGAAGGAGGGAACGGAATAAAGTTGGGCAGCACTCCAGTGACGGAAACTGACTGATGCACATCTGCCCTGTCGAGGTCTTCAACCTTTCCTGTCGAGAAACCTAGGCACATTCTGCTCGGCTCCAAGAACCGGGTGGAGGAGCGCCCAGAGGGATTGTACTGGCAACCGAGGCTGTGAACAGACGACTCGAAGAAGCACGCCTTTGACTCGTGCCTCAACTTTGATCCGGATGTCGGTCACACCTCGGAGTCGGCAGGCCTTTGTTGGAAGCAGACGGCGTGCAGTCTGCGGGAACTAGATGCTTTGGCGGTTGGTACGTGTCGGCTCAAAACTTGAGGTTCAGTGGTGCCTGGCGTCGAACCACGAAGGGACAAACTGAATAAATAACCGACCCGCTAATCGTGGCAGGCTGGAGGGTCGCTCAGAGATCATCGAGGGGGAGAGAGGACACAACACTTTGTAACAACAGCCACTACATGCTTCTTGCACTCTGACAATTACAAAAGACTCCAGATCAGAGTGAGTGAGTTGTTCCGCTCTAGGAGCCTTTCTGAAACACACATCAGGTCACCAAGGGACTGCACAGTGGCACAGCTGTGCAGTGAGTGTGCGCTCTTACAAGTTAAAAAAAGAAAACCTAAAAAGATTTAATGACGTGGGCACAGAATATCACCAGGCTTCGTCAACGAAATGGAACTATAGTCCCCACCAAAATTGGTAAAGCTTAGATCGTAATTTTTTGTTGTTTTACACAATGCAGCGATTTGGAACCCTAATAGGAGTGAAAGGGGGCAAGCTGTGCAGTACTGGTCCGCTGCTTGTGAAAAGGTTAGCCAACTTAACAACGCGGCCCTGAAAGAGAAATCGGCGTCAAGGCTACGTTCCCCTCATCGCATTTCACAACAAAGATTAGCTTATCACAGGTTATTGGCAGTATTTCATTCCTTCACTCTTCAGAAAAAAGATCTTCACCACCTCTCGCCGAGTACACACCACGGAAAGGGAGAGATTGAAAAAAATCGCTTCTTTGGTCTCCAAAGACTCGGCAAAAAAAAAAAAAAGTAACGTTTTCGTATTTTTTTGTTGTGAGATTTGAGTATTCAATGTTAGGAAGGATGCGGGGGAGATGCGTAACAAACACTTAAATAACTACAATTTACGTGAGGTTGAAGGATAAAGAAGAACGAATCCGCCATGCCGCGGAAGCAGACGATGAAGAAGTTTGCGGGCAGGAGGAGGGAGGACAAAATGGCGTCCTACTTTGTTCACCGAGAAGCCAGCTCCTGCGGCGACTGACTTTGAAGACGAACGGGCACGTAACGCGTTTCGCCCAAACGCGGTTGTACGAATCGTTCCGTCTCTCCCTCCTCGTAAATTCATTATCTAGTAAAAAAACAAACGATCCCCCCATTACCTCGTATTTACAAAAAAAAAAAAAAAAAATCACGACCGCACCCGAACTAACGCACCCTACAACCGCATGTGGCGGGGCATATGTTACAGCAAACAACCAAATCGGAAACAAAAACACCCCTAAGCCTAACGTAAGAAAGGAAAAGGAAAATGGCTTCGATTGACACACATTTTCATGCACAAAATATCACAGATCTGCGGACTTAATTCTCTAAAACTCCGTGCTCGTGAGTAGCACAAAGGGCAGACCCGATGTTCGTTGACGCGTGAAAAATGGGAAGGAAGAAAAAAAAAAAAGGCAGTGACAGCCCAAAGGTCAAACGGGGTCAGGAACAAGAGCGAGGTCAAACAATCGCCGCCCGCTGGGAACCCTACGAAATTCATTACGTAAACGCAACCAAAATTACGCTACGAGGACAAAGAAACGTTCGCGTCGCACAAAAAAAGAGAGAGAGAAAAAAAAAACGAACACACATGAGAAAAGGATGACGAGATTCTGATCGGTGTAAAAACGGTAAAAACCCTGCGCATGCAGCTAAGAAAGAAAACCCCGGAAAATAATTTATGACGCCACAACGAATTAGCAGACGATACGAAAGGCGGAAAAAATGATAGCAGACGAGGAAGGTCAATTCCGCGCAAACGGTCGTCACCCGCTCCACCAAAATACGTTTATCGCGGATCGGACTCCCGCTCGTCAAGAAACGGCAATTAAAAGGAGCATAGATCGAATAATAAAATCATAATTCAAAAGCAGGAACAGTACTGGGAGATAGAAGAGAGAAAAAGTCGGGAGGGGAGAAGAAGTGTTGGAGCGAATTCCACTTGCCGATCAAATGTTGCGTATTCCGCCGTTGCGTTCGGTCCGGACGTAGGGTTGTCGGTTTTGGGACGGGGGGCGCTAGGCTAGGGGCGCAAGGATTCACACCTAGATCACCACCACCGCCGGCCGCACAGTTCGGCCGGTGGGTAGGCCGGCTGAAGAAAAAATAATAGTAATAAAAAGGGTCAAACACACCACTCGGCGCCAATTTGCCGTCCGTCGTCGGGTCCGCACGGTCACGACACGGCGTTTCCGATCTGCGGCAGTTTCAGCGTGTTGGCCAGTTCGTCGCCTAGCCGCGTCGCCTTGGAGGCCACCACAGACCTGGACGACGACACCGACGACCGCTGCGTGGACTCCGACGCCGTCGTCTGCGGCGTCCTGGGTAGCCGTCGCCGCAGCCAGGCGTGCCGCAGGGCCGCCGAGGGCGTCATCCGCGTGGCCGGGTCCCACTCGAGACACCGCTTGAGAAAGTCCACGAAGAGGGTGTCGTCGCAGCCCTTCAGCGCCGCCGACCAGTCCTTGGAGCCCGGCGGGCCCCGGAGCTTGCCGCGCCGCGACCGCCCGGCTCCCAGGACGACGGCACCGTCGGGTAGGGTCGTGACGGTGCAGTAGCGGGGGTATCCCTTGGAGCTGATGAAGTTCTTGGCCCGCTTGGCCTGGTCGAGGAGCTTCTGGGGCGGCGCGCCCAGCAGCTCCATGATGCAGGCGAGCTGGTCGGCCTCGTCTTCGCCCGGCAGTAGCGGGTAGCCCGTGAGCAGCTCGGCCAAGATGCAGCCCAGGCTCCACATGTCGATGGGCATGCCGTACTTGGCGCCCAGGATAACTTCGGGGGCCCGGTAGAACCTCGACTGGATGTAGGTGTAGACACGCTGGTGCTCGAAGCAGGACGAGCCGAAGTCGATGACCTTGATGCCCGAGCGTCCCTGCTGCTTGAGCAGCACGTTCTCGGGCTTCAGGTCGCAGTGGATGATGTGGCTTCGGTGCAGCGCGTCCAGGCACTGGAGCAGGGAGTGGGCGAACTTACGGACCAGTTGGAGGGAGAACCCCTGAAACTTGTTCTTCTTGATCAGCTCGTACAGGTTGATGGAGAGCAGCTCGAAGGTGATGCACGTGTGGTTGCGGAAGCTGAAGTGCTCCAGCATGTGGATCATGTTGAGCGAGTTGTCGCGGTCCTGGCGCCGGAGAAAGTCCAGGATGCGGATCTCCTCCTGGGCCTGCCGGTGGAAGCGCTTCTCGTTGCGGACCATCTTCAGCGCCACGTGCTGGTGCTGCTTGTGGTCGTAGGCCTTGACCACCTGGCCGAAGCTGCCCTTGCCGATCACCTTGAGCATCTCGAAGCGGTACGCGATGTGATCGTGCGGCACGTGCAGGTACGAGCCCTGGTCGTCGTCGTAGCCGCAGTTGTTGGCCGTGCCGGGGGCTCCCTGCCGCTTCTTTGCGTTGGCGCCGATGAAGTACACCTGCGGGTAGCCAAAGATCTCGTGGTGCTCGTACGGCGTTAGCTTGTGCATGTACAGCTTCATGACCTGTTCGGGCGTCGCCACGAGCGCCTTGCCGTTCTTGTTGTCGGGCGAGTCGCCGTTCTGGTCCACCTCGAAGAGCTTCTGCACGCTCGACTGGAACTTGAAGCCCGCGATGGTCTGGCTCTTGATGGGTGGCAGCAGTAGGGCGCCGTTGCTCCCGTTGCCCAGCGGATTGTTATTGGGCCCGTTCTTGTCCAGGTAGCCGGCGGCGTCGGCCGAGGGCGCCGACCCGTTCATGTTGGCGATCAGCGACCGCGTTCTCGACAACGGCATCGCGGGTCCCTCCCGCGAGCTCATGACGACGACTGCGGCGCCGTAGCAGCCTCCGTGGCCGCCGTCCTGCCGCCGGCACCCACCACCACTCCGAACAACGGGCGACCCAGGCCTAGCGAGGCGGACATGGACGTTCGTCCGCTTCGGCTGCGCTACACTGGGCCACCATTACCCGCCCGCCTTGTTGCTAAGGGGGCCACGTCACGAGCGCCACCGCCGCCAGCCAATCGGGGGCAGCCCTGAGGATCACGTGGGAGCAAAGAGGCCAATGGCGGCGCGTAACTGGGAGCGACGCCCAATCAGCTGGTCGTTGGGAGAAATGGCCTAGGAGTAACGTACTCGGAGAGGAGGAAGAGGGATCGTCTGCTCCCTAGTTCGCGCGCGTCCTGTCAGGGGCCGCCACTCGCCAGGCGCCGGGGATTTTTTTTTTTTTCCTTCTGCGTTTTTAGAGCGGATGTTTTTTTGTTTTTTTTTTATCGGACTTCCGAGAAAGGCAGCGGGTTTTGAACAAGGATGATTCTTTTTTAAAAGTTTTATTGGGGTTTTCGAGGTGCAGGGTACAGGTCCGATTCGTCCGATTTCGTACGCTCATAGGGGAGGTTTTAGATCGGTGACTAAGACATCGGCGACTCCCCGTTGAACTCCTGACGAGCGGGCGGCTATTTGACGGCCAGGTTTTTGCGCTCTCTTTGTTCGGGCCGCTCCGGACAAAGGGGGAAGTGCTCCCAAGTTCATTGTTCGAATTGTGCGTCGTCGTCTGCTCCTCTCGGTCGGGGCGTCCTGTCTGTTTCATAACGACGGCCCACGCATTGTCGCCGCTACGGCCAGGAGTTCTCCCCGGTTTCTTTTTTCTTTTGAATGATGATGATGTGCATTACTCTCTGCTCTCCATTCTTTCGTCATTTCGGTCGACTAGCTCATGCGAATAAAAGTTGTTCACCTCATGTTGTTTTCCTTCTCCGAACTTGATCTCTGGCGGCTGGTGCCGCGAAACGCTTGGAGAGTGTTTCCAGAAGGGCGGTGCGTGAGGGAATTTTTCGCAACATCTCGAATTTGAAGAATCGCCGAAGCGAACACGCGATCGCACAGATAATTGGACAACAAACCAAGTTCTCGAAATAAACTCACTTGCTGTTGTGAGAGAAACAGCTGCAGTCAACAACAGATCCCGGAATTCGTAGAATGATGATGAGTTCAATTTCCCTCGAACAACAGACACATTGCGGGCAGTACTTAGAAATATATGTTTTGAAACGTATTTTAGTTCAACTACATGCGGATGATGTATTTGTACTTCTGAAACAAAAAGGGGACTGGGCTGGGTAACCTTACATGAAAGGGGTAAAAATCTTCGACTCAAGTTGTTTTATTCAATTTATCATAACCAAACAGGGGTTCGTGCTTCATCGTTTTTATGTTCACCTAATTACCATTCATCACGAATATATAATTTCTGCAAAGTCCAACCTTATCTCTCCATGAAAAAAAAAAAAAAATCTTTAACATTTTTTTTGTTAGGATTATGGTTAGGACCACTGAAGAATGGAATTCTTTCCTGGCGGAAGCGGTGCGCCGCAATCATGCCTGCAAAGTGCTGCGGGTTTATTCTTAAATAAAGAATACAGAAAAAAAAAATTGGACATCGTGTTTTCATATCTTCTTTTAAAATTTAATTAACATAAACTCCTTGTAGCATCACAATTTTACTATTTATTCTATCAAACGCTCACTTTTGTTTTACTCCTTGTTTGCTAAGCAATGGAGCGCATTGTTAGTGGAAATGACATTTCTTCTACTAAACCGATGAGATTGGGCACGACGACGGGACGTGGCACGCACGACCATCTCGTGCCAGGCGCTCCACGTGCTGGCCCGACCTTCATAAATCCTTTGTACGTGTGTTCTACGATCTATTATACCTTATTATACCCCATTCACACGGTCAACATAAAGGTACCTTTTCTATCGATGAATCAGCCCGTGCACTTGGGTCGCGAGCACACGCCACGTGCGGAAGATCGCTAATTGATTGGCCGCAGGAACTAAAGGTCTGGTGGAAGTATGGTGGAAGTGCGGGGTAGGGAACGTCAGGTAGGCGCAAAGGGTGGCGGCTGTGCCAACACCACCTAGACAGAAGGCCTCCGCATGGTTTCTTCTTCCTCTGTGAAACGTCATCACAGTCGGATCGCGCTCGGTCGGCTATGGGACCCGAGCCCGACCTTCGACGTGCTGATTGGCCACGAGCCGCAGCCGAACACTGACGCAGCACTCGTGCCCAATCTCTCGCCTCGATCGATCTGACTATGATGACGCGTGTGGAGGCCTTCTGTCCAGGTGGTGTTGGCTGTGCCCGTTGCCGCCGGTGCATAAGCAGATGGTGTTGCCGTCAAAAGGTGCAGTACAGCACGCAGCGTGGTTTCATGCAGTTTAACTTTATGGGGAAGTCGATTTTACATGCATCCGTTTGTACAAGCTTTTCTTCCAGCCCTCATCCCAAACTCTTTATTTCGTGGCGAAATAAAGAGTTTCTATGCTTATCTTGAAGCACCAAACGCGTCATTGTTTTTTGCTCTTATATGTGCCAATCGAAAACTGGATTCAAAAAGATATGTTTCTTTCAACGTTTTTTTTTTTTTTTTTTTTTTTTCGATTACGCCAGCTACGGGGAAAAAAAAAGTAACTAAAGCAACCTTGCAGATTGGACTCAGTCCCACGTGCGTGAAGTGTGCTAATATATAGATATATTCCTACTCGTACTATATTTTCTTTTATATGGCGTGCAACAAACATGTTTATCGTGCAGCTTCATTCTCGGAGAGATCCTTGTGCTAGAACCGTGCGTGTTCGTAACATTTTACCATAAAGGAAGATTGAAAAAAAAGAACGCACAGACAACAACAGCGCCGCGGTGATGATAGCCTCAACCTTGGCCAACATTTCATGTCGCTAGGGCTCGCCGCTGCGCTGTGACCGCGTTCGCTCTTTTTTTCTTTCTTCATAGCGGCGGGCGGTATGACCTCGATGACATCAGCTGTCACAATAACAGTCGCCGCGTCTGTTTGTGCATGACTGTGCCTCATAGTCCGGAAGCGCGCACGAACTGTATAAGTTTTGTGACATTGGTGATACGAGGGCTTCTCATGGAGGGGATCGTTACATTGATTACACAAGGTTCGCTAGAACGATGTTGCACAGGTTACAAAGGTGTGCTTCAGAAACTCGTAATCAAAAATGTATTTGTTTCTACCCCCCCCCCCCCCCCCCCCCCCGCCCCCCCTAAAAAAAAAATGAAACGAAAGGGAAATAAGAGGCTGATTGGTTCGGGTTAAACTCTCCGCTGCGGTGGCGCTGCTGTCGGTACTGCGCATGCGCGGGCGCTTCCTCTCACGCGAATCTGGTTTCTGCGCACGAGCACTGCCCACACCCGTTGCGGCCAAACGCGAGTTTGTTTGTAAACAGCGTGTTAGTCTATAAAGTGCCGTGAAATGTAGAATAAAACGTCCCTACGTTGGACTGCAGCGGACGCTACAAACCCGTAGCCCAGCCAATCCAGCGCTCTGAACGTATCACGTGACTCCCCGGAGGTCACCTGACACCCACACCGCGTTGGATAGTCTTCGATGGCTCGTCGTCTGCGGTCCGTACTAAAGTGAAACGAAGCTATAGTACTCCTCGTAACCGAAAGGTTACGAAAGAACCATATTAGGAAGTTTTAGTAGGTCGTTCAGATGACTATAATAATTACACCCGATACTCCGCCGACGCCTTTGCGTATACAGCGTATCGTTATCGAAGCTATCGGAACTACTTGCTAGCTGGACCTCAGTGTTAGGTGTTTTCTTTTGATAGAGTTAATTCTTGTAGATAGTTCCAATACCTCCCCCGATAACGATACGATGCACGCGTTGCGGAGTCGTCGGAACGTTTTACTAAAACTCTCCGGTGTAGTAGATCGTTTCGATATCCCCGATAACGACACCCCATGGCGAAGCGACGGATGCGCAAAGGCGTCGGAGGAGTATCGGATATCGTTACCGGAGGTATTCGAATCGGGAGGAAACTTTAGCTTAGCAGCCGTACGGACACACACAGAGGTCATGGAAACTACGGCAGGGCAACCTTGAAACTGTCAGATCACTGGATAACCCCCTTGAACAAACGCACACAGCTGACGTCGAAGGAAGTCTGGGCCAAAGCCGTTGGAGGAAATAATAAAGGGGTTTCCTTTCTATAAACTCGACGTTTCCTCCTATGCAAGTTATTTTCTCTTCTACGCGTATAGGTTACTTAAAATAGATTAATTATTCTTCACACTAAAAGGACACGGGCAGAATACTCATATATCCATATCCCGACACTGAGTCGAAGAACAGACAGGTTGCTAGTTGAACTTGGAAGTCATTGTTGTCCGTCCCCCTTTCTGTGTATCTTCCTTGTGTTTAATTACTGTTACCAACACGCTCGTTTTGTACTCAAGACAGTCACAACAAACCTGTCTAACTCAGTTCTTTTTTTTATATTCGTGTTTTCTTTTATTGGTCCCAGTAAGTCTCGAAATAAATAAGGATGTCGCACATCAGTTTGTCTACGTTTATGCACTTTGCTTGTAAAGACTAAATCATGTTTGTCCGTTTGTTAGCTTAGGCTTTTCTTATGTAGCTGTAGTTGAACTAGATTTAAGCTGAGCATGTTCGTTGAAAATGCTACTGAAAGTCCCCATGTTTATACTTTCAGTAACAGAGTTTTAGTAGATCGTCCCGATACCTCCGATAGCCCCGATAATAGAGAGTTTTAGTAGATCGTTGCGATACCTCCGATAGCCCCGATAACGATACTATGCATGCGCAAGGGAGGCGGTGGCGAGTATCGGGTATCGTTATCGGAGTCATGGGAACGATCTACTAAAACTCTCTATTAGAGAGTTTTAGTAGATCGTTCCGATACCTCCGATAGCCCCGATAACGATACTATGCAAGCGCAAGGGAGGCGGTGGCGGAGTATCGGGTATCGTTATCGGAGTCATGGGAACGATCTACTAAAACTTTTTCTTGAACGCGTAACTGCATCACCGTGGTCTACATAGCGCCCCTTCGTTGTTGATCGGCTCCGATTCTCCTTCCATTCGGCTGGAGTAAATCAGTGCGTTTTATCAGCCGAATTCTACGAGAAAACGTTCACGAAGAGGAGTGACATCGTATGGGACTGTGACGTCACGCGACGCCACTTGACGCAGTGACGTCACATCCTGTGACACCATTACGGCAGTCACGTGACCTCGTGACGTCACGGCTGAGACGCGTAAAAATATTTCGCGCAATAAATTACAAATCCTTCTACCGCGAATCGAACGAGCTGTCAATAGACCGATCCAGGATCGATTGAACCGGTGGCGCCGCGTGCGGTAGCGGGACAGAAGGGAACCACGTGCACGCCGCCATTATCCCCTGGCCGTATGAGGGTTAAAAATTAAAAACAGCGCAAAGCCACGGATAAGAACGAGAAGGTAGACGAACAAGGCGCTCACCAACTAGCTCTAACTTCTACGTACCGGGTGACGAAAATATCCTTCCTCTCGTAACCCCCCCCCCCCCCCCCCCAAAAAAAAAAAAAAAAAAAAAAGGCATCAGAATTTGTTTATGAACAAAAGTTCTTAACTTCTTATACGGTTCAGTTCCTCTTTCAAAAACTAGAAAGGTTTCCCTACAAAAGCTTATTTGTCACATTCTCGTCCAAACGCAAATGCAAATGGAAAAAAAAAAAAAAAAAAAACACTCGGAAAGGGGGAAAGAAAAATACCCCCATAGATTAATGCGATGATTATGATAATGTCAGTAGTAATTAAAAACATATTGATTAAAATAATGACAATGGTACGAGCGTACAACACGTGCGAGTTCTTACTTGGTGCTAGAAAGCCCGACCGTTGCTACTCTGTCTTTCGGTACTTCTGGCAAGTCCTTGGAAAGGCGGCCTTGACAGTCACAGGAGGTTCTACAAGAGATGCCTACGGCATCCGTTCCAACTTCGAGCAAACAAGGCAATTCACCAGGTTCAGTGACAGCTGCGTGCCGAACTGCAATTATCTCGCTCTCGTCGCTTCGTTCAGCCCCTTCACTGGAATCAGCATCAGCTAGACAATAACTTCAATAAAATGAACGCAAACGACCAACAGGTCTTCAAACGCTTGAACCGAGCTTTGCCCAGTGCTGAGTAAAGTACCTCTAAAAAGTACTTGAAGTACAAAGTGAGAGGTTAGTATATATGTACATAAGT